TTCAAGTAAGGTTTTTTTTTTTTTTTTGCCTAATTCAGAGAAACCACACACTTCCTCAAAAACCCCTCCCCCTCTTTCCCCTTTCTTTTTTTTTTTTTTTTTTTTTTTTTTTTTTTTGGCATGCTGATGCTGAGCTTGCAAGGGAAAGTTGTCAGATATAAAGTGTGTCTGTAGGTGGCTCAGCAGAGAAGAGCACTCTTGCAGATCCAGGTTTGGTTCCCAGCACCAGTTACCATCTGTAAGTCATTGCCAAGTTATCTGCCACCTTCAGCCTCCATAGGCACCAGGCATGGGCATGGTGCACATAACAAACATGCAGGCAAATACTCATACTCATTAAAATTAAATTAAAACCTACTCTTTTCACTAGAGTTTGTAACTTTGTATTTATACATTATTTTCCTTGACACGCTGGAAGAAATAAAACAGTGGTAGGAATTGTTGACCCAAGTTTACAATATAAGAGGAAATGAGTAGGCAGGCTGTGATGGTTCACACTTGTCTTAACAATATATGGCGATAGAGATGTAAAGATTGCTGACTGGAGGCTGTAAAAGGCAGGGAGACTGCCATGCTTACAGGCATTTGCTGACTTCCCATTTACCTTAACACCTGTATTTTCTCACAGACTTTATTAGATAATCATGCTTCTTTAAATGCTAGGAAAAGTAGTCATTTCATTTTACAGGCACTCTTAAAATAGTAAATATTGAGGTCAGTGAGGGCTTTAGCAGGTAAAGGCACTTTGCCATCAGTAAGACAGTAAATCTTCTGAGTATTCATTCCATGGACATGGCATGCAGAATCTTGAGCACATGAGGCAGAAATGGGCCCTTTCCCTGCCTAGGACCCAAGAATGAGCTACAGGACTTGGAGATGTAACACTGACCAATTCCTAGCTGTATAAATATGCACCTGCTGTTTTTCTGGTCAGGAAGCTGAGCCTGCAATACCACTGTGATGCCATTCTCTAAGGTTTTCTTTTCTACCTGTGCTGAGACTGCTTCTAGGGTTTAGCCTGGGTAGTAGGTATCTGGGTTGGGATGTTCAACAAGTATAAAGTCAGACATCTTCAACAATACCTGCTGTCTAGAGACTTGTGGAAAATATGTTGCCAATTCCTTCCTTCCTTCCTTCCTTCCTTCCTTCCTTTTTTTTTTTTTCTGGTTTTTAAGACAGGGTTTCTTTGTGGAGGCTGTCCTGGAACTCCCTCTGTAGACCAGGCTGGTCTCGAACTCACAGAGATCCACCTGCCTCTGCCTCCTGAGTGCTGGGATTAAAGGTATGCACCACCACCACAGGCCCAATTTTTTTCTTAAAGGGAAGTATTTTATTTATAATCACTGAAAAATGTTATTTCATGTAACATTATTATTGACAAAATGTTTCTGCTTCCCCAATAGCATCTTACTATGATTGCTGGGGCTGCAACTGTCACTCATAGGAAAGTCCATCATGCATTAAAATTAGTTATCCCTGAAAAGATGAGGCTCAAGAACCCAACTGTCAGACCAGGTACCAGCATGGCTCCAGAATAAAGAACAGTGAATACAAGTATTTGTTGTTTCTCAAGGGAAGCTAAGAATCTCTTAGCTACTCTGTTGTGACTTCTCTTTGTAGCCTTGCCTTCTGAGTGAGACCTTCTCATGTAACCTTGAAAGCCCTGTGTGATCATAACTTCCTAGTGAGCACTTGTACCATTTGTAGCAGTTACAGTGCCTGATTGGGCACACACTTTGGCCTTTTGTGGTTGTCCACAGGGATGAGAGTATAACAGAACCCCTCAGAAAAAAACATCTTCAGTAAAGATGACAACAGTGTACTTTGCTTTGCATTTTTTCCACAGCTATGGCTAAAGTAAAAATCTTTATGCTTAGTAGTTGGGTATGGTGGTGCATGCCTTTAATCCCTGCACTTGGGAGGCAGAGGGAAGCAGAGGGCAGGTGGGCAGATCTTTTGAGTTGGAGGCCAGCATGGTCTATACAGAGTGAGTTCAGGACATCCAGGACTACACAGAGAAACTCTGTCTTGAAAAACCAAGAAAAAAAAAGCTTCCTAGAAAAATTGTTTTGGCTAGGCATGGTGGCATGCTTGTAATCTTAACACTTTAAAAGTTTTGTAGGAGAATTGTGTTTGAGGTGTCTGGGCTACATAATGAGACCTTGTCTCTAAGCAAAAAACAACAAACAACCTTCTGTTTAAGGAAAGGGAACATAAGTTTGTAATAGGCTGTCTAGGATCTCCCATATGGGGAAAATAAAACATTTTGTATTTTTATTATAATAGGTGGTTATCTTTTTTGTTTGTTTGTTTTATTATTTTCAAAAAATTTGGGGCATTAGAGGCAGACAGGGTCTTACTTTGTATCCTAGACTGGCCTGGAATTCACTGTGTAGCTCAGGCTGGTCTCAAACTCAGAGATCTGCTTGATTTTAAAAAGGACTTTCTAAACTTTGCCCTCTTTATTATCAAACTGTATTTGAGTGGTAAACCTTGCTTTTCAGGAAGACAATTCTGAACTGTTGTCTGACTGACTCATGATTCAGACTTAGAAGTAGCACTCTGGGAAAGGCATCCTTTTTTTTTTTTTTTTTTTACTCTTAGTAAAATATGTTTGTTTCAAAAGTTCCATTTAAAGGCTACAAACACAGAGTAAGTGTACTGTCCTTGAAATAGTGGTTCACAGTGATGGACATGGGCATTTGCTTGCATTATGGAGAGAGAACTTTTTGTTCATTCTCTAATTTTTTACTTTTATTAAAATTACTCCTAAAATGCTAGACTTTGCTAATATAGGAATGCAGGTTTTTAAATTATCTGCATAACAATAAAGCAAGAGAAAATTTAAAGATACAGATAAAAATAAATGAGTTACCTAGTGATGGGGAAGTGGGATAAATATTTATTGTTAATTTATTTTTGGGTTGTGTGTGCACTGGTGTTTTGTCTGCATGTATGTCTGTGTGAGGGTGTCAGATCTTGGCAGTTGTTAGCTGCCATGTGGGTGCTGGGAGTTAAATCTAGGTCCTGGAAGAGCAGCCATTGCTCTTAACTGCTGAGCTATCTCTCCAGCTCCAAATGCTGTCATTAATTTTAATATGATCCATTTTATACCAGGAAGGAAATTAGATTTATATCATTAAAATTTTTTAGGTTTATTATGCATATGAATGTTTTGGTTGCATGCACATCTTTGCACCTTGTACATGCCTGTTGGCCACATGTGACACCAGGTCATAAGAGGGTGTTGAATGCAACTGGAGTTACAGATGGTTGTGAAGCAGCATGTGGTTGCTGGGATTAGACTACAGTCCTCTGCAATAATAAGTGTTAACTAACTGTTGAGTCATTTTTACTGCCCCTAAGAATTGAAATTTTAACAGAAGGGATGAAACAGTGAAAAAACAGGCAACCAGATTAAGTGTATTCCTAGTCAGAATTATATAATATTAATATAGGGAAATTGTAATGGAAGTATGCTGTGTGACCTGTTGTACTGCCAGCTTCCCCAGGGAAGATGGAGAACTCTTCTCCAGGATGTCCATATTTTTAGTGGTATGCCTTCGGGGAGAAGGCATAGTAGTTCTCCTTTGTTTTTGTTACTGAAGCTGGCTTAAAATTCTCTATGCAGCTAAGGATGACAT